ACAACAATCCAGATGGGAGATACGGTCTCTAGCCTAAAGTATCCTGTGGGTTTCCATAGCTGACGTAGATTTGAACCTCACTTTCTTTAGAACAATTACAATACTACCATATCCCACTAGATCAGGGGTGTCCAACCTTGGCAACTTCAAGACTTGTGGACTTCAACTCCCATGGCTGACTGGGGATTTCTGGGAGTTGGTCCAGAAGTCTTAAAATTGCCAAGGTTGGACACCTCTACACTAGATGAATCCATAAAGACGTCAAATGTTTGTGTGCTTGCCTGTGTACATTATATCTTGCCCAGTACTGTGGCTCTCAAAGTAGCTAAATATTGGTCTTGAAAACTTTACAGTTTGGAAGTTAGTCTTGGAGGATGTTTCATCAATTAATTTCAACCGGTCCTTAGTTGCTTGTCAACATCCATGACCATTTTTTATTGATTCACAACAACATCCATGACCATTTTTATTGATTCATTTTAAGTTAGCTCTTTTAAGTTTCACCCTTAAGTGTTATTGCCTAGTATTTTGTATCACGTAAGTCATTTTTATTGATTTTTAAAAATTATTCTGTTGTGCACACAGCTATGGAAAGGTTTTTATTCTGAAAGAATGAATAAAATACATTAAATAAATCTAAAGCTTAGGACAGCCACAATAGAGTTCTATTAGAAATGAGGTGTAAAGCTGTCAAGCTCATAGAACCAGACCGTATTTTATGGTCTACTGAAAAATGAAAAAAATCTTTCTGGGGCAATACCATTCCTGCAGACAACTTTCCAATGACAGAATTTCCCAGACTCACACAAAAAGATCTGTGCCTCAATTCGCCAAAGGATGCGAACCACAACCTTAAGGAAAGGTGGTGTATCTTCAGGCGGTGTCTACCTCAAGCGTTCCAAAGAGAAGCTCTCCATCAGACTTCAGGAGACAACTGTCTCAGACAGCTGAGAACATCCAACAAATGGCCCTTTCGTTCATTATTATTTATTTTTGTCTTACAAAGCAAGGGGAGAGGTTCTTACAGGATTTTCTCATGCCAGAAGAATGCAATTAGCCTTTAGGCGATCGTGCCTCAAAATGGGTTTTCCCCGCCAAGAATTTCCACCTTCCTTTCTGTTATTCGTTTCCCTGCAGTTAATCCAAACTTTCATCTATCTCTTCCAAAAAGTGCCTCTGACTATCAGCTTAATGGGGCAGGACGTTTTTCCTCCTGGGCAGTGGTTTTAGTTGGGTCAAGGGGGAGAGAAAACGTCTGCAATTCTTGCTATGCCTTTGCTCGTTTCATTGAGGGAGAGTTTTAAAAAGAGAACGAAAGATCAATTACACAAGGGACAATTCTGAAACGTAGTAAGGGTATACAACAGAACTGAGGGAATGACAAGCAAAGGGCGCTGATTAAAAGCAAAGCCCCTTAAAATGCTTGGGCATACAAAAAGATTTTCTCCTGGAGCCTAAATGACGGTGACATTGTTTCTAGGCAAGTCTTCGTGGAAAAAAAAAATCATTTTGTAATTGAATGGAAGTGCTTAAAGAGCTTTGTCATTGTCCTTCACCTCCTCTTGCTCTGATAAGAAAGGTGCAGATGGAAGAACTGTGGCAGACTAATAGATTAGAACTACAGCATGGAAAATTTCACATCGATCTTAAAATATAAAGTTTTTTTTCTTGTAGAAAAATCAGAGATACCCACATGATACCATGACTTTGCACACATGATACCACGTCCAAGTAGTCCTTGACTTACAATCACAAAAGGTGATCACAATGTCCCAGGGCACTGCAGCTGTCATAAATACCAGAGGTGGGGCTGCTGGGGGTTTGCAGGGGTTCGGGAGAGCCCCTAGCTAAGATTCTGTGCAGTTTCGAGAACCCCCAAATACCATTACTGGCTGGGGCCCCCCACCCTTCCCCTCCCCTTCCTTCCCAGGAGTCCCCACGCGGCCTGTTTTGGATGCAGGTAAGAGCAGGCTGCACACAGAGGTTCAGGGAGGGTGAAAAATGGGCCTCCCAGAAGTTTAGGAAGGCTGGAAATGGGCCTGTTTCCGGCTTCCGGAGCCCGGGAAGGCCATTTTCACCTTCCTGAGGCTTGAGGAAAGCCTCCGGAGGCCGGGGAGAGCAAAAACGCCCCCCGCCATGGTGTAGGAGGCAGACTAGGCCATGCCCACCATGGCCACACCCACTCAGCAACTGAACAGAGAACCCTTTGCTAAAACATTTGAAGCCCACCCCTGGTCAACACACTCACATTCCAAAATAGGTCATTGTGTAATCCATCTTCTAAGGCCTCCGCAGTTTGCAGCTGATCTTCAGGATCACTGCTGCTCACTTTGGTCAAAAGATCTTGCTTGTTTCATTACGTTCATATTCTGTTTTCCTTCCATGTTATTCTTCTAGCTTTCATTTTATTCTCCTGAGAATCCTTCAAGGAAAGTCAGGCTGAGAAATTGTGATCTATGTTACCGGGTGGACTTAAACCCAGTTCTCTCTCCGATTCTATTCCAAAATTGTAACCGTGGTCACCCAATAAAAACCATGATGACATATTAGCATTTCATAGTATCGTGGTGCCTAAGTGAATTATGTAAGTTGCATAATAATGTGTCTGAAATCACACTATAATGGGTTCCACTACTAGCCACAATGACAGAAAGTAATGGTAATGTGACAGCATATTATTTATTTTAACAGATTAACAGAGTTGGAAGGGACCATGTAGGTCATCTAGTCCAACCCCCTGCCCAAGCAGGAGACCCTGCACCATTTCTGACAAATGGCAGTCCAATCTCTTCTTGAAAGCCTCCAGTGATGAAGCTTCCAGAACTTTCAAAGGCAACTTCTGTTCCAATGGTTGATTGTTGTCACTGTCAGAAGATTTCTCCTTATTTCCAGGTTGAATTGCTCCTTGTTCATCCATTATTCCTTGTCTGGCCTTCAAGTGCCTTGGAAAATAGCTTGACCCCTTCCTCTCTGTAGCAGCCCCTCAAATATTGGAAGACTTCTCTCATGTCTCCCCTGGTCCTTCTCTTCACTAGACTAGCCAAGCCCAGTTCCTGCAACCATTCATCATATGTTTTAGCCTCCAGTCCGGTAATCATCCTGGTTGCTCTTCTCTGCACTTTTATTTATTTATAAAATTTATTGGGTACCCATCTTACCACAGGGTAACTCTGGGCAGCTTACAATCATATAAATATGTTCTACCAATGAGTATGAAAGTCATAGGGTTTGCATTATGGTGTCATAATGGATAATGGGTAAAATATTACTTACCCCCTTTTCCCATGGACACTGTTTTTTCAGATATCCATGGTTATAGTTATTATGCCACATTGAAACTGTGCACTCACAATCAATTTAATTTGGTTAGTCACCTTGGATGTGTAGCTCAATCAATACAGGTAGACCTGGACTTAAAATGGTTTGTTTATTGATCATTCAAAGTTACAACGGCGCCGAGAAAACTAACTTATGACCATTCTTCACACTTAGGACCATTGCAGCCTCCCCTTGGTCACATCATCCAATGCTTGGCAATTGACTCATATTTATGCCAGTTCCGAGATCACGTGATCAACTTTTGCAACCTTCTGACAAGCAAAATCAGTGGAGAAGTCAGATTCACTTAGCAATTGTGTTACTAACTTAACAACAGCACCGATTTTACTTAACAAGTGTGGCAAGAAAGGTCATAAAATGGGACAAAATTCAATTTAACAAATGTCTTGCTGGGCAACAGAAATTTTGGGCTCACTTGTGGTCCTAAGTCGAAGACTGTCTGTATTAACGTCGTTTTGCATGTTCTTCATGAGTTTAATGAATGCAATATTTTCAGTTAATTTATGGTTTAATGTATTGGGCAAACTTAGAAAACAGGTAAATGCAATAATCAAGTTAAGGATATTGTGTGAATGATCTGTCAGGGATGAAGCATTTTGTCCTGCTGTTTTCAAGTACAGCTCTCTGGGGCCAATCAATTTCCTCTAGATATCATACATACAGGATCTAGGCTGGTTTTATGAAATATCCGTGGGGAAGAGAAAAAAAAGCTCTAGACATTATTAATGATGAGAAAAAAGAAAGCTCAAGGTTACTCCTATTGTGGGGGGAGCCAGTTAGTCCTTCAGTCTGGCATTTTGGGAAAAAAGAGGTTCAAATACCTGCCTTAATGAATTCTCTAATAAATGGGTGTTAAAGTTTGGGCTTATTCCATTTCCAAAATTTAGCACTGTGTCTTAGTATCTTATTATTTATTCTGTATCATTTTTTGTGAATCTTACTTTCTAGGATGCACTGTTTGTAAGAGTCTAGTACTAAAAAAGAATGAAGCCAAACTGAATAACAAAGTTCTGGGTTACCATTATTTGGCTTTGCTCCCGTGGCTTGCAAACCATGATTTATGGCTTAGTATAGTGTGCAAACTCAGCCAGGGTGAACGAGAGTTGTGGGCTTCTGAGTTGGATTCAGATGGACTTGTGAATAATATTTAAGATGCCAGACACATCGCAAACATTGCTACTAGAAAAAGAGATAGAAAAGATGTTTTTCCTCTTCATCCAAATGCCAAAAACATAAAGGCTCTAAGATATACCTTGTTTTCATACAAATGGAATTCCAAGCTGCCCCAAGATTTATCCTTTGCAGGGGTTATTTATATTCTACCATTCCTAGCAGAAGCTGCCTATAACTTTTATTAAAAAAGGAAAAGATGCAATTTAATGTAGTTCTCCCCATAAATGCTAATAGGTCCCCTGCTTATTAAAATCCTCTCCCTCCATACGGAGTTGATCCAAAACACTAGTTAATCAGACTTTACATAAGTAATGTTTTAACTGTGGAATAGCTCCTTGTTTGCTCGGAAAGCCACAAAAACCCCCGAAAGGAAATGTAGCAGAATAGTGGGAGGACTGAAAGCAGGAAACTCATGACCTCATCTTTTCCTCCTGGCGCAGATTGGTTGGCTGGTATCTGGACTACAGTTTAAATTCAGAGGTCTGCAGATGGAAAACAGAAGAAGAGGAAGAGAGTGAGTGAAACTAGCTGAAGTGACTCCAGCCTTGCCTGAGTTTCACTAACACAGCTGCAGATTGCTGCCAAGGATCTAAGCATCACTCCAGGTACTGAATTGCCTTTCTTCCTTGCCTGTAACTTTCAAGCTGGGCTGCAATTTATTAAGGGGAAAAGAAAGAAAGCAGGAAGCTGGAGACTGTTACCACTGAGAGGTGGTATTTCATTTTGCCTGAAATAGATTCCGTTCCAACAACAGTGAGATTTGCCTAACATCTGGGAGCAGATTTAAAGATACAGGGATGATGTCTGCTGCCAAATGAAAATGTGATTAAAAAAACAAACAAATGGCTCATTCTTAAGATTTACCTCTGGGGAGGGGTGAGGAGTCAAATTGCTGCGTGCTTTTGGCTCAAAATGGCTTATGGTCTGCCTTCTGCTATCTCTAGTGCAGAGGGGGATGGCTGGGTTATGACTAGACCAGAAAGATTGCATCATAGATGTTGACATATCCTCATTCCCTGGGTGTCTCACACTTCATCTACTTCGCAAGACTCCGGTAGTAGTAACATGGGAAGGCATAGAAGTGAGTTGGAAGAGGAAGATAAGTTTGTCATGATTTGGGTAACTAAGGACTATCAACTTCTGTTTTTATTTTAACCATTTCATAAACAGTAGCATCTGACACAGAAATCTCTAGCAGCTCTCTTTCTGCTCTGCAGTTAAAGGCAAAAATAGTCATCATATTAAGATAATTTAGTACTCTGGGGAAAGCATGCAGTGTATATGTATTCAAGAATATTTCCCTATCTGAAATATCCTGATATCAGAGGACCTCTGAAACCCTCACAGCTCCATCCAAACAGGGTTCAAATTCTTGCTGGTCTCCATTTCTTATACAGCACCTATTTATTTAGCAAAGTATTTCTGGCTAAAAGGGTTCCATTTAATTTCCATTAAAATCATTGGCTCTCCATCTTCTGGTGGGCTCTTTAGGAGTATTACTCAGATATAATTTGGTGCAATGTTTTCACATTGATTTTTGCTTTTAGCACAAGTGCTCATTAACCTTGTAAGAGGAAGGGCAATGCCTAGGGAAGGATGCCAGCTCCCCCATCAGCCTGGCTCTGAATACAGTCTTCCATCGTGATTCATCAATTTCTCATATATCCCTTGAGTCCTGATTCATCAGCTTTTTTTCCAAAGTGTTATACACAACAGTGTAATCCTATCTGATTTGGAAATCTTTTCAAAATGCTTTAGAAGAAATGACCCAATCAATTAGATGGTATTGCTGCTAAGCATTATAATTAGGCTTGAGTTAAATTTATATTCGTATGCCTATGCAACCAGAGGCAGAAGAAATACCAAACTGTTGTAACCTTCCTTCCCAGAATTTCCATTAAGTTTTGAAATATCTGCCTTTGAATTATTTCATAATAAACTCTCACTTTTCCTCCTCCTTCCCAAGAGACTGCATCCTGCTGCAGTAGCAACATCTAAAACTCCTGAATTATGATCAGCATTGAAATGTGTTTCAAATTGTTCTCTTTTTATACACAGATAATAGAATTGTTAAACTGAATATTAGTTATTAGCAATTAGTAAGGAGTTGCTGCATTCCACATTAACAAATTAACAAGAATCTTTAAAAATATTTAGTATGTTTCTTACAACCTTATGGTATTATTAAAGGAAAATAGATTTCTTTCGCATGTATTGGATATTTCATAGAACATTTATGCTGGAAATAAGAAATTATTTAGTCCTATGTGATTAGTGTGTTCCTAAGCAGAGATGTGTTGAATCTCTGCTCATGAACATACTATTTAGCAATTCAATGGAAAGACTAACCAAGATTATTATGTGTGGCCAAGATTTAATATTATGTTTAAAAACAACTTTTTTCTATATGTACTATATTGCTATATTTGTTGGTGGTTTCTATCTTTTGTGTTCTAAAACAATAACATTAACCAAAAAAACCTGGGTCATTGCATTTATGGAATGTTGTAGAAATGCTTGCATTTACATCAAGCTAATTGGAATTCATATGTAATATGTACTTTGCCAGAATGTTTCAAACCATGGTTGGTTGAACCAGCTTCAGTGGCCTACTTTGCACATAATGTTATGACATAATGAGTGCATTCCCACTTCACGTTAAATGAAAAACAAACACACCACCTTATGGCTGGGTGAGTCTCAAAAAATCAGGTCCCAAAATTTCATAGGCCAATAATATGGTGGAAATAAGCTGAGCCTTTTCTCTCTCACTTTTCATCATCTTTATTTCTGCTTCTTCAAATCAAGGCCAGGTGACATGCCGAGATGGAAGAGAGTGATAAATATATAGAGAACTAGAAGGCAGTGACAGTCCACAACTATTTAGATGGATAATTACTTTTTTTGTTGTTTTTGTTTAAGAAGGTGCCTTTTAGAAAGGCTTTATCAACACTGCAGACTAGGCAGTTTATTGGTGGATTTCTGATCAATCCATCATGAGACCTTCAGTCTGGAGTTACTGTTTACATATATTTTGACAGTGTGTAAAACACAGGGCAAACAATTGTTATTGTTGTTTTGGAACAGGAATCTTACCAAGCGTTTGCAAACTATTCCACAAGGATCAGTCATCATGAAAATTGCAGTGCTTATCTTGTGTCTTTTCACCATTGCCTTTGCCTTACCAGTAAGTATGTTATGCATTTAACAAGTCAATCAAGACTTCCTTAGTGTAGCAAAAAGGAATCAATACTATTTTCTTCTTCTTCTTAAAGATCAGCAAATCGAGACATCATGACGATTCTATGAGTGCAGAAAGAAAACATGTAAGTGTGTATTGTGTCTGTGCAGAGAATTGCTTTTATTATGATCTTTATTGAACCTCATTCAGTTCAAGTGGATGCAGATTTTCTATGTTTCTTATCTAAAGCTTTTAAAATGTGAGGTTTTTAAGGTACACTTAAAAAACAGTCAAGAATTGGAACATTATCTTGCTTCAAATCTTAATATTTTACGATCATGTGGAATTTACTTCTTCACATTTTCTACTTACTAGAATTAAGCCTACATGTGTATAGCTGAGGGAAAAAATACAGCATCCTCAATTGTTTCCTGTTTACATTTGTGTGTAAACAGACACACTCTTTTCAGTCCTAAACCACCAGGCATCAATATCATTGAGTGAGGCAATTGACAATACCTTTCTCTCTTTTTTAAAAAAAAGTCCTACTGCTAAAAGAATTGTAATCCTTTTATTAAATGCATTTATTTGGGCCATACTTCTCCCCAACTTAAAAAAAAAAACCCTCCCTTTTTTTTACAACCCTGTAATCCTCTCCCCAAACTTCAAGGTGTCTATTTCTTGGTTACTAAGGCTGTCCTTTTTGTACCTTTCCAAAATGTTTTTTTTAAAAAAGCTATAATCTACACCTGAATTCAACACAAAATAGTATTAAGATTCATTTTACTTGCTAATAGGCACTTTCTGCATTGTTTTAGATCTCTTTTCCAATTATTCTTAACACTGATTTTAATAGTTTTCCCAAATGTTTTAGGAGAATGAAGTTTGATAGCAAAGCAATTAGATCAGTGTGGGATTCAAATTTTTTTACTACTGGTTCTGTGGGTGTGGCTTGGTGGGCATGGCATGGGAAGGTTACTGCAAAATCCCATTCCCTCCCCACCCCACTAACCTGCTTTCCAGCTCCGTTCTCCTGTGCAGGGGAACAAAAAATGACCCAGCCAATCAGCTGGGACTCAGGAGGCAGAGAATAGATGGGGGTGGGGCCATTCAGAGGTGGTATTTTCCAGTTCTCCGAACTATTCAAAATTTCCGCTACTGATTCTCCAGAACTGTTCAGAACCTGCTGAATACCACCTCTGAATTAGATTCTCCTAACTATTTCCTCTCTGTTGTAGGGATCCTTCTACCAAGCCCTAGGTCCTTGCCTTTTAGCAGTGACCAAGCATTGAGATGGTGCATGCTAAATTCTAATGTTTTTATGTTGTTGTAGGACTCCAGAGAAAATGAAGCTTACGCACACCACCATCACCACCACAATTCACACAGCCATGAACACAGTCAAGAGCATGGAAATAGCCATGAACACAGTCA